AAAAAAAAAGTATACCAGCTGGGGCCAGGGAGATGGCTCAGTAGAATAAGTGCTTCGCTGGCAAGTGCAAGGGCCTGAGTTCAATCCCTGGTTCCTCCAAACAAACAAACACCCCCTCCCCTCCCCAAAAAAGTATACCAGCTGGACATGGTGGTGTACTCCAGTAATTGCAGCACTCAGGCTGACCAGGAGGATCACTGTGAGTTTGAGGCCAACCTGAGCTACCTGGTGAGGTCAAGGCCAGCCTGAATGAGATGCTGTCTCCAAAAAAAAAAAAGTTTGCCGATTAAAGCGCCTGCCAACAGGCACAGGGGCCTGAGGCTTGATCCCTGGGCCTGCTGTGCTGGCCCCACCCTCCAGGGCACGCTGAGACAGAGATTGAACCTGGGCATGGTGGCCCATGCCTGTAATCCCAGCTCTCAGGAGGCTATAAACAGGCAGATCGGGGCTGGTGACATGGCTCAGTGGTCTAAAGCACCTACTTAGAACAAGTTTAACAAAGCACAAGGGACCGCGGTTCAATCCCCCAGCACCACATGCCAGCCAGCCCTGCCCCCTGGTGGGCTGAGCTGGACACACACACACACACACACACACACGCAAATAAAATAAAAAAAAAAAGAGGCAGATCACTACAAGTCCAATCTAGTAGTGAGACCCTGAACACCCAGTAGTCCCTTCTCTAAAATGCAAAAAATAAATAAATATATAGAGGGCCTTTAGATAAAACCTCTGAAGAATATATCTGACTGCCAGTCAACAACTATCACCCATTTCAGCGCGAAGAAGCCAGAGCGGTCTTCGCCCATATTTCCCTTCACGGCAGTTCAGGTTACTTCTTCAGAGGGGGAATATTGCAGGCAGCCGAGTTATATAAAAATATTATAGGCAGTCAGACAGGGCCAGGCCCTCAAAGGAGACAGCACACAAGATGAGATGCCTTACGACTGTGGGAGGGGCGGATGCTCCTGCTGTGAACCACTCCTAAAGACCTAAAGGCCAAACAAATGCTAAATGGGTAGCACCTGGGATTGATATTCTAAACAGGTATCAATCACCCGGAAAGACCCAAGTGAGTCACTAGCCCAACCCCCAACAGAAAGAGACCCTATCCCGAATTCCAACCCTCAACAGAAAAAGACCCTGTCCCATATGTAATCCCATTGGTTGACCATAGTTTTGTCCCACCTCCTGCCCACCTAAGCAAGTTCCCATTCCCTCTACCTTAGCCTCACTATAAAAGTCTCTGGAAGGGACAGCTTCCCTGGGAACTACCCACTCGGGCCGCCCTCCTGTCCCTCTCTTGGGCAGGAGCTTTCTTTCTCTCAATAAATATATTCTGGGCTGGTGAGATGGTTCAGTGGTCTGAAGATCCTACTTAGAACAGGCTTGGCAAGGCACAGGGACCGCGGTTCAA